TCCGTTGAGTCAGGGCAGTAGGTCTCCTAGTGCCATCCTGGCTGGGGCCTCAGCTGGGGCCAGCCCCTGAGTCCAAGGATGACGTACAGGATTGACTGTCCGGTGGAGGGGGGTCCAGGAGCAGTGGTCAGGTTGAGATCGGCTTGGTGCCTCAAGCTACGGTAGGCTCTGTCCCTGGCAGCCTTCAACCCCGGAGTTTCTCCCTGGGTCTGGGGGCCTGACGCGCTCTTGGGCCCGTGGGAGCTGGAACTCGTGTGTCCTGGGAGAACTGCCAGCACTTTGCTCTCCTGGTCTCCCCGGGGGTGACACTTGGAGGCAGTCCTGATGGGACAGAGACGTGCCCGGCCTCCTCACAGTTTCCGTGGAGGGTGCAGTCCGAGCTGAGCCTGGAGCGAGCTGCTGACTGTGGTGTGGGGGTGGGGGGTGGGGGGGCAGTCAGGTAGCGTTCTCCCCCAGGGTGCACGCCGCTGACCTGCTGCTGTGCCCGAGACCCCTGCCTTCGAGATTCACTCCTGGAGTGAAGGCACAGGACCTCTAAGACCCCGATCTCAGCTCAGATTCTGTGCTCCCTTTGGGAGGAGCCTGTGAGCCACCCTCTCTCTACTTTGTGTCCAGCTGGTTAGAGACTTTCCCATGTTTTGATTCCTTTCATCGCGAGCACAGTTAACTCTGATTTTACAGCTCAGTCACTGGGGCCCGGAGAGGATAAGCAGTCCCGCCAAGGCCACACAACTGGGACGTAGCAGAGCCGATGCCAAGAGTCAGGGATCTTGACTTCAGGCACCGGTGTCCCGCAAACACGAGGGCCGTGAGGGAGCTTGGCGGTTATTTGGTCTAGCCCTGCTCCCTGCTCTTGCAGATAAGGAAGCCCGGACCCAGAGCTGGGAGGCGCAGGGCCCAAGGTCACACAGCCCGTTAGTGGCAGAGCTGGGACCAGAGGGAACCCTGGCTTCTAGTCGGTCTCCTGTACGGCTCTGCCCGGCCCATGTTAGCGCCTCGCATGGGTCGATTTATGAGATCTTTTCTGAGACCTGGGGTGGGACCGGGGATTGGCCGAGGGCGGAACTGCCCGGAAAAGAGGCTTGGCAGCCTCCAGTAACGCCTCTCCGTTGGTCTGGCCCGAGAAGCTCAATGCTGTTGTCAGTTAGAAGCGGCCTCAGAGGCCCGGTGCCAGGGCGGTGTCTTGGATCACAGCCAGCCTAGGTGACAGGGGGGGGGGGGGGGGGGGGGGGGGGGTGGTGGCCGGAGAGGAGCAAGAGTTGACCCGGCGCTATCTCTTCCCTCCAGGTTTACCGCTCCAAGATGGATGGTGAGGCCACCAGCCCCTGCCTCGGGACCTCAAGAGGTCTTCCCTCTTTCCTCTGGCTCTTCCTCCTCCTCCTCCCAGCTCAGCGTGGCTACCCTGGGCCGTAGCCCCTCCCCAAAGGTCTGAGGACACACGGGCTGGAGGCATGGCAAGGTGGTAGGTAGGGGATGGAGACCGCCACGAGGTGGGGGGCGGAGCCGCCCAGGGGAGCCTCGGGGTGCCTCCTTGAGCCCTGGGTCCCTCATACCCACTTCCCCCCCCCCTCGCTGCCTAAGAGAGTGTCCTCCTCCTGCCCAGAATGGCACGAGCAGCCTTCCTCGCACCTGGCCACGCCAGCAGGACACTGAGACTGCTTACCAGCTGGCCCTGAGCAGAAGGGTGAGGCTCCCAGTGCCCACCCACCAAGGCCTCCTGGGGGGCCTGGATCACACCACCTCCCTCCGTGCCTCACGCTTTATGGATGTTTTGCTTTTTACTTGAGTTCCAGGTGAGGACAGAAAGCATTTAGGTTTTGACACTGGAGAAAGGAGAGCTCGATATTTGTCCAGAGACTGGGTTAGCTGTGTCTTCCCAGAGAGCACAGCAAACAAGGAAGATGTTTGTTGCATCTGAGTCGGGATGACGCTGTCTCTGTCTGGCAGAGTGGTGGAACGGATGACCTTCTGGAAATGGTTCCCTAAGATACTGGCCTCTGGGGACCTTGAGTCCTTGCTGCCTGTGTGCATTTTGGTTGTTTCTGAAAGCCCATGTCTGTGCCTTCTCTCGCCTCGGCCCCCCTCTGTGTCTCTTCTCTCGTCTGCCTTCCCACACCAGGCTTAGTCGCTTCCCGCGTTTAGAGCCCCCAACCCCGGACCCAGCAGGTAGAGTTGGTCACTGAGGGCATTGTTGGTCAGGCAGCTCCCATTTCAAGGTCCGGGCAGACATGATGGCCTCATGCGGGTCCACTGCCCCCAGGCAGGCTCCCCTGCTGACCCGGGCCCACCTGGGCCGGGTGTTCATTGGCCTCACTGCTTCCCGCTGAGCTGTCTCCTGCTCATCGCCTCCCCTGTCCCGCCGCCTCGGTTCTGTTGCATCACTGCTGGTTTTATAGACGCCTGTTTCTTCTTCCCTTCTCCCCCCCTTCCCCAGCTGGCAGGGCAGCATGAGTCCTGCCCCGCTTCTGGGCCGGGCGAGGGGGCGGCGGTGCTCAGGGAGGCAGGAGGAGGAGCTGCCAGGCCGACCTGATCGCGTCGCTGCCAGCTGTGCAGGCCACACAGAGACTCTGGCAGGGCAGCCGACGGAGCCATGGGGCTGGCCCGGTGTTGACCTTCCTCCCGCCGCCCCCTCTCCTCTGTTCAGGAGTTCTGCCGGCGTTTCCCCACAGGGCTCCACTGTGATTCCCCTGTCCTCTCAGAGGCAGCAGGATCGAGGAGTAGCGGCGACGCCTGGCCGAGCTGAAGCAGAAGGTTGCCGAGGCGCAGTGTCAGGGATGCCCCCAAATGGGGCGGCCCTTCCCGGGCCTCGGGCTTCCCCCCCCCGCTCATGCACCACTCATCCTGCACCACCTGCCGGCCGGGCTGAGAGCGCGGGGAGGATGGCGAAAATGCCTTACGACACTTCTGGAGCCTGAGAGCTCCGACAGCATGGAGACCAGCATCTCCACGGGCGGCACCTCGGCCTGCTCCCCGGACACCGTGTCCAGGTACCCGCCCGAGGGGGCCGGCCCCGCCCCTGCCAGCCGCCTCCCAGCCCCTTGATGCCTCTAATTTCTCTCCCCCAGCTGCGGAGTGCCTGGACGTGGGGAAGATCGAGGAGATGGAGAAGATGCTGAAAGAAGAAAGACGCTGGAGAAGAGCTTCATGGAGTCGAGGTGAGGCAGCAGGCTCGCGCTTGGCTGCGGGCCACCATGGGCGTCTGGGCCTGTGTCTCGCTCTCAAGCGCCCCCCTCCCCCCCCCCCTTAAGTTTTATTTATTTTCAAGAGACAGAGACAGAGCGCAAGCAGGAGAGGGGCAGAGAGAGAGGGAGACACAATCCGAAACAAGCTCCAGGCTCTGAACTATTAGCACAGCGCCCGATGCGGGTCTCGAACTCACGGGCCGCAAGATCATGACCTGAGCCGAAGTTGGACGCTCAACCGACTAGCCACCCAGGCGCCCCGAGACCTTCCCTTGAGGAAGAGTGTTTTAGAAGTCGTGTTCGTCAGATGGAGGAGGCCTGGTGACATGGCTCTTAGGATGAGAGGAGGCAGCACAGGAACCCTCGTCCAGCCAGGAATTTCCCTTTCGGCAACGTGCAGCCTTTGCGTGTTTGCTTCTGTGGGTGTTTTGGCCGCCACGGGAGTTCTGATTTGCGTCTGCACGAGTGGCGGGTCCTTCCCCTTGGGGACGGTGAAGAAAGGCGGGAATGGGGGCCCAGCATGGGGGGGTAGGGCCAGAAGAGAAGGCAGGTGTCCAGGCCAGAGCAGAGGTTGGCAGAGGGAAGTGGGCCCGAGGTCAGGACCCTGGTTTGTCCCCAGGGCACAGCCAGGCTGAGGAGTCGGTGCCTGGGGAGGAGGGCGAGTGAAGGGTCTGTTCTGTCTCCACTCTTGGGGTGCTCTTCGTCTCTCAAGATGAGAGTGGAGTGCAGGGGGCAGGGGTCAGCAGCTAGACAAGCCAGAAAGGAAGGCCTCTCAGCCTTACATCCGCGGGGGCCAGATTTACAAGCAGCTCTTGGCAAACGGAGAGGAAGGAGACCCTGCTAAATTTTGAGCTGGGAAGAAACGGCAAGCAGGAGCCAATGGCACGGAAGTTGTTTGTGTTGATGAGGACATTGGGCATCTCTGACACGCTTTGTGTTTGATGATTTGTTTTAATGGCTTTTAAAATCTTCTAATAATGGCTTCTGTACGTGCACTTTTTTTCTCCGTAAAATTTGAAGTTCAACTACAAATGTTTGTAATTTGACTTCAAAGGGCCTCGGGGACTAGGAAGGATTACTGAATATATTCAGTATCACAAAAACCCAGTTGCTTAGATTATCGGTGTGTTAGGGATTGAAGTAAAAATTGTGAGAGCCATGTTTACTTATTCATTCAGTGCTTCCTTCATGCTGGAATCAGTGATGGGCATTTACATACACGACCTCATTACTTTTCACTGTAATCCCCGAAGGTGGGCACTCTTGGCCCCATTTTACAGGCGAGGCAGCTGAGGCTTAGGGGGTTTAAATGATTTTGTCAGGGTCACAGAGCTCAGACCGGTGACAGAGCCAGGATTTGAAGCCAGCCTGGTCTCACTTTAAAGCATTTGCCCCTTACGAGCAAGGTGCTTGGAGAAGGTGGGTTTTGGGGCTGATGCCTCCTCGTGCCAGCCTGCTCTCTGAGGTGGGCGCCTCCTGCAGCTCTGCCCCAGCCTGAGGAGGGGCACCTGGAGAAGGGGAAGGAGAAGGCAGCCGTGGGCACTGACTGCTGGCTTTGGGGGCAGGAGCGGGAGTTGGAGCTCCGGAGGCAGGCCCTGGAGGAGGAGCGGAGGCGGCGGGAGCAGGTGGAACGGAGGCTGCAGAGCGAGAGCGCCAGGAGGCAGCAGCTGGTGGAGAAGGAGGTCAAGATGCGGGAGAAACAGTTCTCCCAGGTAAGTGGGTGCTGGGGTGTGCTGGGCGGGGCTGTGGAGGGGTGGGGGTACCCTGGGGTGTGAAAACTACTCTCCTCCAGAAAAGGTTGCTGTTGGCTCAGCACCAGGCAGAATTCTACTTGGGACTCATTTGGCCCCAAGGACCAGACACCTGGGTGTGCGTGTGTCTTATGGCTGTCCTGGTCCTCACTCCACCAGACTCGAAGCTCCGCCCCCCCGGCCCCCCTCCCACCCCCACCCCCACCCCCGTGGGCAGATGATGTCACCCTGACTCTTGGTTTACATCTCCAAGAGAGACTTGTACTCATTTCTCCGTGGCACCGGAGTCCTGGGCTGTTGCCTTATGCAGAAGATTTGAGCAGAAGAGTTGAAGGTAGAAGAAGTTAGGCTGTGTGGGGAGGTCTGCCTGTGTCTCTGCTCCCAAATCCTGGCCCCCCTGTGAGAGCCCATGGGGCTCACACAGGCTGTTCCTTCCCACTGGGTCTTCGAGTCCCCCAACACCCCTGCGTGTCTGGTCCTGTGGGATTTACCCCGACAGGGACCAGTGACCACAGCTCCCTGGTCCTGGGAAGCAACAGCATAAACTCTAGGGGGCAGGCCACCTGGATTGGGCTTGGGAACTAAGAAACGATCAGGGGGGTGCCTGGGTGGCTCAGTCAGTTAAGCGTCTGACTTTGGCTCAGGTCATGATCTCACGATTTGTGAGTTCGAGTCCTGCATGGGGCTCACTGCTGTCAGCACAGAGCCTGCTGCGGATCCTCTATCCCCCCTCTCTCTTCCCCTCTCCTGCTCACACATGCTCTCTTGTTCTCTCTCAAAAATAAACACTGGCGTGCCTGGGGGGCTCAGTCGGTTAAGTGTCCGACTTCAGCTCAGGTCATGATCTCATGGTTCACGAGTTCGAGCCTCGTGTTGGGCTCTGTGCTGACAGCTCAGAGCCTGGAGCCTGCTTCAGATTCTGTGTCTCCCTCTCTCTCTGCTCCTCCCCCACCCACACTCTCTGTTTCTCAAAAATAAACAAACATTTAAAAATTAAAAAAAAAAATACTGATAAGGAAACTGAGGTCCAGAGAGGGCATGCGATCCAAACAAGGTCCAATAGGAAGTCAGAGGCCGGATTTCCTACTGGGCTTTGCTTTCCAGAGCATGTTCACATCTGGCCTCTTGCCTTATTTCGTTCAGCCCAGGAAGGAGATGAGGGGCAGGGACAAGACAGGAAAGGTTGTATCTTGCTCCTAGGTGGGGAAACTGAGGCACGGAGCCACTCAACACTTGCCCAGGCCTAGGTTGCGGCAGTGTGGGCCTGCTAGATCTCTGCTTTTGCCACAAGCCCTGTGAAACCAGAGTGACTTCCCTGGGGGTGGGAGGGAGGGTTGGCATTGGTGGCGGTTCAGGACTGAAGCCAAGAGACCTTGACAAGGGAACAGTGGGGGAAGAGAGAGACTCTGCTGAGCCTGCCTTCTGCTCCCAGGCACGACCCCTGACTCGCTACCTGCCAATCCGGAAGGAGGACTTTGATCTGAAGACCCACATTGAGTCGTCGGGCCACGGTGTCGATACCTGCTTGCACGTGGTGCTCAGCAGCAAGGTACGAGGCGTGCGTGGCCCCCGGGGTGCTGGGGGGAGGACCCCCCGCTCTGGGCATTTCCCCGGGCCCTTGGGATAGTGGCCCTAGTTCCTGCCCTAACACCAGAGGTCTCTGTCCCGGGATCTGGTGTGCTGGCTTAAAGAGATGTTGGGGACAGCCCCCCGAAACACAGGCAGAGGGGATGGATGGCCTTTCTGTTGCTGCTCGGGGAAGGAAGGTTTAGGGACTGCGCATTCGGGTCCCTCCTCACTCCCGCTTCTCACCAGGTCTGCCGCGGCTACTTGGTCAAGATGGGGGGCAAGATTAAGTCGTGGAAGAAGCGCTGGTTTGTCTTCGACCGGCTCAAGCGCACCCTTTCCTATTATGTGGGTAAGTTCCTGTGAGACTGTCTCAGAGCCTGGACGCTTCTGGAAGGAGGCCAGGCTTACAAGCCGGGGGCCAGGGGCTTGAGCTGAGCACTTGTCCCCTCCCTGACAGCATCCAGAGCACAGTCCACCTTCGTGTATTTGGCAACATAACCGAGCACACCCTAAGTTCCGGGCACTGTCCTGGTCCTTGCTGACAAGAAGGGTGTCCACAGCTCTGCCCCTCGGAGCTTGCTGTCAGGGAGGCAGATACTGAACGGAGTGAAAGCGGTGCATGATGGGAATGCTGCAGGGGACCCCGGACGCTGTGCGCGTGTGCAGTCCTGTGGATTCCTGGAGGGCCCGCAGGCGCCTCCTCCCACGGCTTCCTCCGCCCGGCCTCCAGCTCGGTTGCCGGTCCCTAGAATCCCCTCCCTCTCTCTGGACAGTTCCCACTTCGAGCACAGGATGCCGTGTCGCACGCTGGTCAGCAGAGGCCAGGGCATGCCGTGGGGACAGCCAGTCCTGAGACCCCAGTGGCTCAGAACCACAAAGGTCGTTCTTACCCGATATGCATCCGTGTACGTGGCGCGTCGGTGGGGGCTCTGCGGCCCTCTGCGTCACCGCCCCCTTTGTTGGAGAGCATGCATTTTTAGAGCACTGCTAGCCACCGTGGCGGAAGGTAAAGAGAAGCTTAACTGCGCCTTGCACTGGCATTAAATGCCCCAGCTGGGGTCTGTCCGCAAGTCATTAGCGGGCTGCTCGGCCAGTCCAGCTACCCTGCCCCCAGCCAGGAAGAGCAATCCTGCTCGGAGCCTGAAAGGTCAGGGCTTAAATGTCTGGTGCCAGGGACATCCAGGCCTGGAGTGCCTGCATCCCCTCTAACCTGCTCCCTGAGTTCCACCCCCTCCAAGAAACCTTCCCTGATTGCCTGGGGCCCTGGGTGTGCGGGCAGAGGCACATGCGTCTGGGAAGGGACTTCGTGGGGATTTGAGAGAAACAGTCCCGGGGAGAAGAGCTCCATTTTAGGCCTGTTGAGGTTGAAGTGCCCCTGGGACATCTAGGTTGAGGGAGAAAGGTCAGGGTTGGAGTTGAATCGGTTGGAGTAATAGTGATAGCAGGTCATACTCACCGAGCACTCGCCTGAGCCGGCTGCCATGCTAAGCATTCTGCGTGCCTTGTCTCGTCTACTTTTCGTCATCGTCTTGTGAGGGAAGCACTGTTTCATACCCATCTTACAGATGAGGAACATAGGCTCCAAGAGGTTAAGTAAATTCCCTAGGGTCTCACAGCTGCTAAGAAGCAGAGCTAAGCCTGAGCGTGGGCAGCTGGACCTCAGAGGGAGATGAAAGTCCATGCCCTGGGGAAGGAGGAAGCAGAGGGACGGGCAAAGGGATGAGGGGCAGGAAGCCACATGCCAGGTGCTGGGCTGGCCCTTGGTCTCTGTGACCTTCCTTAATGTCTGTGGAACGAAGGAAGATGACTTTCAGATGAGAGGCGGAAACAGGGAAGCCAGCCCAAGGAGCAGACGTTTGCAGGCAGGGAGCGTCGTGTCGCCGGGGATGAGGGATGCTACAGAAAGGCCGAGAATAATGTGGGCTCAGAGGCCCTTCCACTCAGCGACCGGAGCTGTGTACAGGGGTGGGAGCCATTGCACACGAGGAGGAGACGTGGGTGGTTAGGAAGCAGAGGCAGGAGCTGTTAGTATTTCCAGTGAAGGGAGAGGTGCTACTGGAGGGGTGGCCGGGCCTGGGGGCCAGGGTGGGGCTGCGTCCCCGTCCCAAGAGGAAGCGTCGGGTGGAGCTGGGCCCATCAGCCCAGGGGCGAACGATCGCAGCTGCCACATGTGTCCCAGACACTGTGCTGAACCCTCCGAACGTGTTCTCTCACTTAGTGCTCACGACCGCTTACAACGCGTAGATGCTCTCTCGGTGTTCCCAGCCGTGCTGTCAAGGTCACATAGCTAATGAACGCCTGTATGCCTGTGCTTTCCTCCCCACTGGATTATAGGTTCCTAAGAGAAGGATCTGTGATTGCTGGTGATCCCAGCGCCTAGGGCTCCTTCAGCACTGAGCACCTGCTGTGTGCTAGGCACATAGCTGTTGGTGTTGGAGGAGGTAGACCTACGGACAGGTAAAGAAGGGCTCAGATTTAGCATGGTAAGTTCTGTCGAGGAACATCCATGCTGTGGGAACACAGGAGAGTGCAGCCAGGCACCACAGCGGTGCCACTCACAATAGGTCTGGAAGACCATTTAGGAATTTGCCAAGGGAATGGGCTGGAGACCGTTCCAGTGTATGCAGAGCATACTCTTAAGGGACTGGTCAGCAGCTCCACCTGGCCAGATAGAACGCGTTGGTGCAGGGGAAGGATGTGAGATAAGACCAGAGGGGCGTGTTGGCACCGGCCTGTAAGTACCCTTTGCCAAGCCAAGATGGCGGCAGGTTCCCGGGGAGGCAACTGGCCGGGAGGCTCGCGGGTTGAGGCAGCAGGATTAGGTTTGCTTTAGGAAGATCGCTCCCTTGTCCTTAGGGGAGAGGAGTTGAAGGGGCAGAGGGTGGGGCCGGGGCACATCGAGGAGGCTACAGCAGTGCTACCGGATGGAGGACTCAGGCCGCAAATGACACAGGGGTGGGGGAAGGGTGCAGAGCAAGGTGCAGGCCATCGGCTGTCACTGTCTGAGTTTAGTGACTGTGTGACCTTTCGGTTGTGGTGCCCGAGCAGTGTTTGCACGAGACAAGATGGCCCAGGCCCTGGGCTTTCCCTTGGCAGTTCCCCTCCCTCCCCACTGGAACGGTCCCCTCTGCTGTTAGCTTGCCCACCTTCTTCCTGTCACCCCTGCCTCTAGGTGCTACACGTCTTTCTGTTTTTTAATATTAGAGGCGAATAGGTCAATGCATTCGTAGAGTTCTGATATCAAAACGCCCGAAAAGCTTTAGATTGGGACTTATGCCTCTGCTCACTCCAGATAGCTGTTTTTATTATAAATCTCTTGTGTATCCTTGTAGAGTTCTAGAATGTAAGCAAATGCAAACATAGACTGTCACTCGTTTTCTTACGCAAAAGGGGGCATACAATGCATTCCTTGTTTTACTGCTAACGTATCAGATCTGTGTGAGATAGATCTACATCTGATACATTTTAAGTTAAGCTGTATTTCTGAAACCATATAGCAGAGATTTCTGAATCATTTAAGAGCGGTGTAGTATCCCCTCATGTGCTAAACTATAATTTATTAACCAATCTCTACTCGGGGACACTTGCATTGTTTGCAGTATTTCATGACTACCAATACTGTTGGGGTGATTAAGCGTGTCAATTTGTTACTTGTAAAATAAATGTCCGTAAGTGCAATCATTGGCTCGAAGGGCAAACAGCTAATCCTGGTAGGACGTACCTGTCACTTATCAGACCACCTGCCCTGTTTCTCCAGAGCCCCACCTGAGGGGTGCTGTTTATTTTCGGCATATTTTTGCCATTCTGGTAAGTGAGAAGTGGTATCTCAGTGGAGTTCTAATTTGCGTTCTCTAATTCTGAGCAAGGCTGAGCACTGACCAGATCTTCGGGGCTCCATGTTGGCCTCGGTTCTGGAGTCCCGGGAATCACCCCATTTCTCAGACTGGGGGCAGGGGTGCTCCTTCAGCAGCACGTCACCTGAGGGACGACAGGCCTCCTCAGCCCGGCCTTATTTCCTTTGCAGACAAGCATGAGACGAAGCTGAAGGGGGTCATCTACTTCCAGGCCATCGAGGAGGTCTACTATGACCACCTGCGCAGTGCGGCCAAGGTGAGGGCAGGCCCCGCGGCGTTGCGGGACGACAGCCTCCAGCCTGCGTCCTCCAGAGACTTGGACCCGTGGCTTGGTCTCTTTGTAAACTTTCTCTTCCTCTCTCCCTCTCCCCTTCCCAGAAGAGGTTTTTCAGCTTCACTGTGGTGACTGAGGTACCCCTCCCCCACCTACTACTGCACATTAATGCCTCCTGTCCCCTACTTGTCCCTGACCCTTTACTCTCCCCTCCGCCCCCCTTCCCCAGGCCTGAGGGAGGAGCAGCGGGGGGCGGCTTGCGGCCCCCTCTCTTGAGATGACAGCAGGCTGTGTCCCTGTGGGGGGAGGGGTGGGCACCACAGAAAGGAGGGCTAAAGGGAGGAAGGGGTTCTCCGGGAGGGTTCTGGCTGGGGGGACTGATAGAGGGGATGTGTCCGAGGCCTGGGCTGTCTGCCCTCGTGTAATCAGCCTCCCTCCCCCCAAGCCTCCGGTGCCCACCTCAGCCCTGACCTCCCCTCCTGTGCGGCCCAGCATCCTACCTGCAGCTTTTTCCATCGGCCCCTCTTGTGCTGAGAGGAGACTCTGGTCCTCACGGGAAGGGCCCTCTGTGTCCGATTCCTGTGACACTTTTGTGCCCCCGGGCTCGCTGAGCAACAGTGCCCCCTCGAGGCAGGGTACGGCCCTGCCAGGGCCCAAGGATGGTCCGGGTGTGAGGAGGGGACCGTCTCCAGCGGGGGCCCGCTGGACTGATGGGCACTAGGTTTGGGGCCTGTTTCAGACTCTGTCCTGAGCTCTAGGGTGTCCTGGAGACGGGGAGGGGAAAGGGCAGATGGGGGGGTCAGAGGTGAGCGCTGGCTTAGACCTTCCTCTCTCCCTGAGCAGAGCCCGAACCCAGCCCTCACCTTCTGTGTGAAGACCCATGACCGGCTCTACTACATGGTGGCCCCATCTGCCGAGGCCATGCGCATCTGGATGGATGTCATCGTGACTGGAGCTGAGGGCTACACTCAATTCATGAACTGACCGGTGTGGACCTCCTAGACCCTCGGGCCAGCCCACCTGCTGCTTCGCCCTGGAGACAGAGGTGCACACCGGGCCACACAGGAGTGCCCCCAGAGGCCCGGAAGGGCGGAGCGTGCCTGGGGCTGTTGTAGGTGACTTTGTACTGTTCTACGGTGTAAGGAGCTCATCCTGTGAATTTCTGGGCTCAGGCCCCCTGAAGAACCAGCCAGCAGATGAAAAGTGGGGAGGCTCCCAGGAGCCCAGAATCTGCAGTAACCTTGGAGGGCCCTGCCCCAGGCCTGAGGAGCTGTCACAAGAGGGGGCCTCAAGTTCTGACCTGGCACCTGCACTCCCCAGCCTGTGTTCTCTTTTGCAAAAGGACAAATTATGGTACCAGAATCTGCCAAAGATCCCTTCTTGCCTCAGCCCCCTTTGCGGGGGCCTTGGGGGCTGAGGAGAACCACATCAAGAGTGGGGTAACAGCTCAGGCGGTGTACTTCTCCAACCCCGCTCTACCCTGTTCTCCCCTGTCAAGGGCCAGAGACCTCCAGTGCCATCCTTGAGGTCCTAACCTCATCCCCTTTTTGCAGACCCCCAACCACGATCTCCACAGTGACTGCTTCATCGCCATGGTCATACACTCGCCGTGGCTCTGCCCGTGCTGCAGCCATGGGCCCATCCGAGGGTACAAGGGTACGTACTGCGACCTCTCCAGCCCAGGACCTGGTGCATCTCATGCTGGGGGAAGAGACCAAGCACCCTGCCCTCTATGTCTCCAGGTCCTGGTGCACAGCCGGCCGCCCCCTAGTCCAGACCTCTCCCTTGCACTCGTGCCTTGCTTAGAGCCAGAAGGGACGAAGCTTGGACATCCAGAGACTGGAGGAAGGAAGCAGATGGGAGAGGCAGCTAGACTGGGTTCTACAGAACTGGCTGGGTTTCTAACAGGGACGGAGGGCCGCTCAGACGCCCGCTGGGGGAAACCTGAGCAGGAGCCGAGGGGGAGGACCCTGGGGGCTGGCTGCCCTCCCTTCCGCCTCAGAAGGATGACAGAAATGGAGAGCAGAGGACCAGGCCCCCAGCTGTCTGGCCTCAGCCCTTCACGCCTTAACACTAAGCCCACAACCCTGCTCCTCTGCCCAACACTGGGCCATGGTTGCCCGGCCTGGGCTGGGCGATTTTCAGTATTTGTAAGCATCTCAATGGAACAATAAAGCATTTGGAGTATGTGTTTGGGAAGCCAGGTTGTATGGGATATGGGGCTAGGTGTTCCCCGCAAAATAGGATTTCCTCCTTACTGGAGTTCCAGGAGGGACAAGGGCACACAGCCCATGACTTCCAGGTCCCTACCCTGACCACTCCAAGGACTGGCTCTGGGTGGGGTATGGGGTCTCCAGAGGCAAGAAAAGGTGGGGACTCACGCAGACGTTTAATGAGGCAGACGTGGCAGGAGGCTGAGCAGAAGGGCAGTTGTGAGGCACTGCGGCACCCGGAAAGCGGTCTGGGTCCCCGAGCTCAGTCGGTCGCCGTAGCGGTCCAGGAGCATCAGGACCACTCCATTGGTCCAGCCAAAGCCCTCCTGGAGAGAGGAATGGCTAGTGGGGCAGGATCTCTGGGGAAGGCCCTCAAGCCCTATTTTAGGGGGTGTGAGATCTCTACCCAGGGGCTCTAGAACTGCCTAACCCCAGGAGGACAAAGGAGCTCCAGGCAGGCTCTTCCCTGTGGACCCACATCCACAGGAGGAAACAAGCGTTACAGCGATGGAGGTCATGGTGGCTCATGGGACACAGAGCCTGCTGTAGTTCCTTGGGTCTGGGGACGCAGGGCTCACCTGAACTTATCTCCTCCACCACCTGGCCTGACCACCGCCTGCTGATGCTGCTGGCAACAAAGGCAGGCTCTAGGGTCCAGGCACTACCCCACCCCCGCGCCCCCTCACCTCAGCCCTCTAGGGGAAAGCTAACTGGGAGCCCTGTGGGGCAGAGAAGCTGCCGGCCTGCAAGCTCAGTCAAAGAAGGCCACTGGGTGTCACCACTGTCCCTAGGCCTTGCCATACTCTCCACTCCCCCACTGGGAGGAGGCCCAGAGCAGCTCACTGTCTCATACAAGGCTGGCTCTGAGAGCACATAGTGTTCGGACTCAATCCCTGAGCCAGCTGGTGCCACTTCCGCCCGGAGGGAAGACATCTTGGCGCTTCCAGCACCTAGCTCTGCAGGCACCCCAGCACCCGAGAGCAACCCTATGAGACCGGAGTCCCAAGTCAACCCTGATGAGGGGATAGGTGAACTTACTGCCTAGGGAAGAGCGAGCCTCAAGACCTCATCTTGAAACCACGCGAAAGCCAACGTGCTCTTCCAGGGCCTGGGTTTGAGAGAGCAGGGAGGGCTGGCTCCCTCGGACAGGTGGGGCAGGCACAAGATATCTGCTGGAGGGGGGAAGCTCATGAGAACAGAAGAGCCAGAGAAAGACCTCACATCCTCTGTTCACACCTCCCCAGTACCAGGGGGGCTGACCCTCAGATGCATGCGGAGAGGCAGGCCCTGAGAGTGCCCCACTGCTGCCTCCCTCCTCTGATGACAGAGTCTCGCAAGGGGGCCAGGCACTGAAGTCCCCTGCTGGCCTGCTCTGAGAGAAGAGGTCGGGATCCCGTACGAGCAGGTCAAGATCTGGCTTCCAGAAGGTTCGACATTCTCGGACCGCTGGGGACTGATAGGAAGAGCCAAGGGGCCGCTCCTAAAGCCAGGATGGTCCCCTTCTGGACTCATTTTTATGCCACTGCCGCCCCTGGTGGCTCCAGCGGACCTGCAGGCTCAGGCACGGGGTGGGCAGGAGGAGTGGGAGGTCACTAGCTCAGAGTCAGGGAGAGAGCAGGTGGTTCTGCCCCCAGTATACCAGCCCGCCCTGCTGCCCCCACCCCCCTCACCTCCAGATATTTCGGAGCCTTGTCCACGACTCCCGGGTCAGAGAAACAGCCAGACCAGAGAGGACTAAGTTTGGATGGGTAAAACTCGAGGTTTTTCCTTCTGTTCTCAAGGTCATAGTCAAACCAGGCACCTTTCTCATTCCACAGGATGGCTTTCATGGCAGCCAAGCGCTGTTCCCGCATATTTCTGTATTTTGTGGCTTGGAGGTCGTTCCCTGGGGTGACACTGTCTTTAGACTGAGCAACCTGGGTCCCGTGCCTTCAAGAGATCTACTTTGGCCTCCTCCTGTTGTCCTTCCCAAGGGCTAGAAATCCTGAGCGCCAAGGGGACATGCATACCTGGGGCCACATTTCAGGCCTCTAGGACCTGGAGTTTCCTGAGCAGACGGCCCTGTATAGCTCTCAGTACTTGCACTGGCCTGTTGCCAGGTCCCTCCTAGGAGGGCACTGGCCGTGTGTATTCCCCTAGCTCTGGCTGGGACAAAGGGAATGGAGGGAGTTTGAATGTGTGGACTGAGGTGCCCTCAGGGAACCTATAACTCCCTCCTGGTGAGAAAGGGACCGTGAGTGGAGAGTGGGCTCCATTTGTACTCTTGCTCCAGCAGTACCAGGGGCGGGGTACGGACCCTTCACCCACGGTCCTACTTCCAGCTCCAGGGCCAAGGCTGAGGCGGGACCAAAGCCGGCCGAGCACCGTTCTCCCTCTCCTCCTGCTGGCGAGCTCACCCGGTCTGGAGTAGAAGTCGCTCATCAGCTCCTCTGCCTGGCACAGGAAGGCATTGAGATCAACAGGCACGAGTTTGCTGGTCCGGATGCTGCTCGGCAAGTTGGGGTTCGGGCCTTTGACGAGCCAACGCGAGGAGAAGTCCCAGCCAGACTCGGCCCCAGCCTTGAGCTCAGCCCACAGAGCTTCCTGGTCCCCTGTGATGACGAGGCAGCAGCAGACCGGGGACCGGGGCCTGACACACAACATCAGGGTCCCAGCCCCACCCAGATGCCTGACCTCCGCGTCTTTGCTGTAAGACTCGGGCCTGGAGGAGGAAAGCGAGCGTCCTGGCACCAGGAAGCTCCAAGCCCAAGCTGGAGGCTGAGCCATGTTGCCTCAGCTGCCCTCGGCTTGTCTTTCGACAGCCCTGCATTGTCCTGGGCTTTTAGTATCACCATCGGAGACGTGGGGCTAAGTCACTGGCCCTCAAACCAGAGTGAACGATGAGAGACTGAGAGGCTGACAGAGCAGCTCCTTACCTGGGTCCCCCATAAGGGACAGAATAGTGATTCAGGACGTAGCTCTTCCTCCCCGAGCTCACAGAGACGTTCCTGTGCTCAGTCCAGAAGTCCAATTCCAAAGCTAAGGTCCCGATGTTGTCCCTGGGGCGGAGCCAGATACCACCTTAGCCCAGGCACGCCCACTCAGTCCCGCCCTGGGAGGTCTCAGGGACGGGGGCCTGCAGGGCAGCAGGGAGCCGGGGTGCCCACCTCAGGAAGGCCGTATCGTTGGTGTGAGCCACGTAGGAGTGCATCATGAGAGTCAGCGGGGGGGGAGGGGGGGGGGGGGGGTGCTGGCTCCGCTGCAGGGAGTACACGTGGGCCCCGTTGGGGACATGTCCATAGCTGCCGAGAAGGAGGCCTGCTGAGGGGCATCTGCCAGGCGGCCAAGGCCAAGGCCAATCCAGCGCCAAGCCCGTCCCCTCTTACAGTCGCACCAGGTCCAGGAAGTTCTGCAGCATGCCCTTCACGGTCTCGGGCATCTCAGAGAGGAGCAGCTCCTCCATCACCCAGTAGGAGTCCCTCGGGAAAGGGGCAGTTCAGGCACCCACCCTCCAGCCCCCCCCGCCCCCCCTGCCCTGCACACCCAGGCCAGTCAGGGTGCCCTACCCTGCTCAGGACAGCCCGCCAGCCCCGGGCTCCCCCACTCCCGCCCTAAAGCCCCGGCCGCTCACCAGTAGTAGAATTCGACAAAGCACCCACCAGGCACAACGAAGGGGTGTTCTGAGTAGAGCAGAGAGAGAATTGCTCGGGGTGGCTGAGGACCTCTGGCTTCACCTGCAGTCAGGAGAGAGGGCACAGGGAGCCCAGGACCCCACGGTGTGGAGTCTGGAAGAGGCCGGGCGGCGGGGGGGTGGGGGGGTGGGGTCTGGCAGCTGCGGCTTTGGAGCCAGGGAGCCAGAGCACGAGTTCTGGCTCTGCTGCTGGTCAGCCGGCTACGGCTGAGGTCAAGGCCTGAGCTGCGGGAGCCTGGTCTGCTCGGCCCCACGTGGGGGCCTCTGGAGTCCTGGCTAACCCAGCCCGGCCCTGGCAGGTGCTCACCAAACAATGGCCATTATCAGGACCGGCCAGGGGGACCACGTCCTCCACTCCCCTGGCCTCGTCTCTGGGGCCACCACCAAGCCAGGCCCAGAGACTCAGGGCCCGCATCCTCTGACCCGGGCGTGGAGTGTGAAAATGAATGAAAGGAAACCTCATTCACAACCTCCGGGAGGCTGGCAGGTGAAGCCCTCCTGCCCTGACTCTTTGTCAAGTGCAGATCCCAATTAGCAAGTGGATGCTGCCTTACTCTCCCAGCCGAAGGGGTAGGTTTCTTCCTCCCCAGCAACAGCCCAGCCAATGAGAGGCTGTCACAACTCAGCCAATGAAAAGCCACCGTACTCAGAAGGCCCCAGTTTACCGCAAAGGGCTTGTTGTTCGCAGCAGCCTTCCCAATGCCCCCCTTCCTCCATAAGGCAGCGTTCCTGTTCTGCGTTCTGCTGACTTGCCCACGGTTTCCCTGTGGTTTACTCAGCCCAGATGGCCGTTCTCTGCTGTTCCTAAACGAACCCCTTTTTGCTGGTGAAGTAACTGGCAGTTTTATTTGTAAGGAGAAAGGAAACCCCAAACTGCTTTCCCAATGAGACAGGCGTACATGAACGTGGCCTCGGGAGAGCAACTGTAGGACCAGAGTAGAGATGGCTGCCTCCTTCAGGTACTTTCTCTGTTCATGGCCTCCTGGTTCTGTCCCAGTGAGTGTGGTTTCAGTGGGAGAGCGGTGGGCTGTAAGTTATTTTGAGGGGCGTCGTGGAACAGAGCTGGGTTTGCTCCTGTGGGGCTGGGTGGGAAAGGGTCCTGGAGCACCACTCTGTGCCAGCGGGTGCCAGGGCCCCAGGGGGCCGGCTGGGAGGACAGATGCTGTGCAGCCTCGGGCAAACCTCTGCCCTCTCTGAGCCTCAGACAAAGGAGAGAAAGTACATAACAGACAGTGCTGACCACAGGCCACAATCAGCAGTGGAAAATAT